TGGCGACCGGTGAGGCGCGTCTGGTGATGCGACAAAGTTGAGATCTGTATAACTTTATGCAAGTTAAGAGAGGACTTTCGGGAGCTGCAACCAGTGGCGACCTTTTCTTGTTTTTATTGTGTATTTATTGTGTTCTTGTTTTTAGAAAAAAAAAAAAAGAATGCGAGTGACGTCACGTGCAGCAAGTGTGCAGCCACAGAAATCGTCTTTGCGTCACTAAGATTCTAAATTCCTCGTCATGATGTCACAAGCAGAACTTCTATAAAAGCAGCTGTTGAAAGTCTACCATTCATTTCAATTTGGAGCGGGCGATTTCGGACGACACGCGAGGCAGGGAACGTTGTCGACCGGTGAGGCGTGTCTGGTGATGCGACAAAGTTGAGATCTGTATAACTTTATGCAAGTTAAGAGGGACTTTCGGGAGCGGCAACCAGTGGCGACCTTTTTCTTGTTTTTATTGTGTATTTCTTGTTTTCTTGTTTTTATATATAAAAAAAAAAAGAATGCGAGTGACGTCACGTGCAGCAAGTGTGTAGCCACAGAAATCGTCTTTGCGTCACTAAGATTCTAAATTATGCAAGTGAAGAGGGACTTTCGGGTGCGGAAACCAGTGGCGACCTTTGTCACAAGAGGGAAGAGGGACTTTCGGGAGCGGCAACCAGGATTGAAGTCAGTAGAGTGCACTGCAGTGCTGAGTTTGACCGAGGCAATTTAAACGAGAAGCTCATTTTAGCAGTCAGAAACTGTCCTATTATTTATTGGTCTGTCCCTTATTTACTGCCTTGCTTACTTTGTCTTTGAGTATACTGTTTTTTGTGCTTTTTCTTGTTTTTCTTGTGTATTTATTGTTTTCTTGTTTATATATATATATATATATATCCCCGGATGTATTTTTTGTGCTTTTTCACAAGCAGAACTTCTATAATATATATATATATATATATATATATATATATATATATATATATCCCCCGGATGGGGGCGTGACAAGTGCTTGATGTCAGCGCGCACCCAGCGCCAGTTTCAGTCATGTGATTATGATGACGCGAAAAATTCCAAGAGGCGTCTGTTGCTCTGTCTCCATGGCAGCGGAGAATGCGAGTGACGACACGTGCAGCAAGTGCGCAGCCACAAGGTGTGTTCGACATCGCCTGCGGCTGGATGCAACCGATCGGCGAGAACAGCCGCGTGCAGGCGGGGAGGAGCTGCAAACGGAGACGTGAAGTCGGACAATTTCTGGTTCCCGTAGTGACGGCTCACGTGGTGTTTGCATGCTTATACCACAGCTGAAGTGAAATAAATGCAACATTTGCCAAATAAACAGATATTTCAGATATTTCAGACACATTTTCATTCAATACTTTACTGCTTCATACAGCATCTGTTTGAACTAGAATAAAGTTCAAAATAAGCCTATAATCAATGACGTGGAATCAACGTTTTTTAATCAGTTTTATTATGATAAACATGACACAATATAACATTGCGACTACATTAAAAGAGTGTTTACTGTTATAAAATACTGATTTGTGAGCTTTAGTGGAACTAAACGTGTGAGAATAAACACGAAACGCACGTGATCGTTGTCATGCGGTGAATCCGGCGAATCGTGGAACAGCTGTGACATCATCAGAGCTCGTGCAGCCGCTCTTCAGAAGCTGCGCTGGCTGAGTCCTCCGGCTACTCTCGTAACGCTCTCGCGGTACTTTGATGGCATATGTCACAGTCACGTGGAGTCAGCGCTGCATCAAGTCGGACAAAATTTCTAACCGGCATGCACTGTTTCAAGTCAGCCGCCGATCGGTCTGCGCAGAGCTGCATGAAGTCGAACAAGCCTACAGAAATCGTCTTTGCGTCACCAAGATTCTAAATTCCTCGTCATGACGTCACAAGCAGAACTTCTATAAAAGCAGCTGTTGAAAGTCTACCATTCATTTCAATTTGGAGCGGGCGATTTCGGACGACGCGCGAGGCAGGGAACGTTGGCGTCCGGTGAGGCGCGTCTGGTGATGCGACAATGTTGAGATCTGTTTAACTTTATGCAAGTGAAGAGGGACTTTCGGGAGCGGCAACCAGGATTGAAGTCAGTAGAGTGCAGTGCTGAGTTTGACCGAGGCAATTTAAACGAGAATCTCTTTTTAGCAGTCAGAAACTGTCCTATTGTTTATTGGTCTGTCCCTTATTTACGGCCTTGCTTACTTTGTCTTTGAGTATACTGTTTTTTTGTGCTTTTTCTTGTTTTTATTGTGTATTTCTTGTTATATATATATATATATCCCCGGATGTATTTTTTGTGCTTTTTCACAAGCAGAACTTCTATAAAAGCAGCTGTTGAAAGTCTACCATTCATTTCAATTTGGAGCGGGCGATTTCGGACGCGAGGCAGGGAACGTTGGCGACCGGTGAGGCGCGTCTGGTGATGCGACAAAGTTGAGATCTGTATAACTTTATACAAGTTAAGAGGGACTTTCGGGAGCGGCAACCAGTGGCGACATTTTTCTTGTTTTTATTGTGTATTTCTTGTTTTCTTGTTTTTATATATATAAAAAAAGAATGCGAGTGACGTCACGTGCAGCAAGTGTGCAGCCACAGAAATCGTCTTTGCGTCACTAAGATTCTAAATTATGCAAGTGAAGAGGGACTTTCGGGAGCGGCAACCAGGATTGAAGTCAGTAGAGTGCAGTGCTGAGTTTGACCGAGGCAATTTAAACGTGAAGCTCATTTTAGCAGTCAGAAACTGTCCTATTATTTATTGGTCTGTCCCTTATTTACTGCCTTGCTTACTTTGTCTTTGAGTATACTGTTTTTTTGTGCTTTTTCTTGTTTTTATTGTGTATTTCTTGTTTTCTTGTTTATATATATATATATATACATATATACAGAGCTTTATATGTGTGTGTGTATATATGTAGGCTATATATATATATATATATATATATATATATATATATAGCCTATATATATATATATATATCCCCGGATGTATTTTTTGTGCTTTTTCACAAGCAGAACTTCTATAAAAGCAGCTGTTGAAAGTCTACCATTCATTTCAATTTGGAGCGGGCGATTTCGGACGACACGCGAGGCAGGGAACGTTGGCGACCGGTGAGGCGCGTCTGGTGATGCGACAAAGTTGAGATCTGTTTAACTTTATGCAAGTGAAGAGGGACTTTCGGGAGCGGCAACCAGTGGCGACCTTTTTCTTGTTTTTCTTGTGTATTTATTGTGTTCTTGTTTTTAGAAAAAAAAAAGAATGCGAGTGACGTCACGTGCAGCAAGTGTGCAGCCACAGAAATCGTCTTTGCGTCACTAAGATTCTAAATTCATCGTCATGATGTCACAAGCAGAACTTCTATAAAAGCAGCTGTTGAAAGTCTACCATTCATTTCAATTTGGAGCGGGCGATTTCGGACGACACGCGAGGCAGGGAACGTTGTCGACCGGTGAGGCGCGTCTGGTGATGCGACAAAGTTGAGATCTGTTTAACTTTATGCAAGTTAAGAGGGACTTTCGGGAGCGGCAACCAGTGGCGACCTTTTTCTTGTTTTTATTGTGTATTTCTTGTTTTCTTGTTTTTATATATATAAAAAAAGAATGCGAGTGACGTCACGTGCAGCAAGTGTGCAGCCACAGAAATCGTCTTTGCGTCACTAAGATTCTAAATTATGCAAGTGAAGAGGGACTTTCGGGAGCGGAAACCAGTGGCGACATTTGTCACAAGAGGGAAGAGGGACTTTCGGGAGCGGCAACCAGGATTGAAGTCAGTAGAGTGCAGTGCTGAGTTTGACCGAGGCAATTTAAACGAGAAGCTCATTTTAGCAGTCAGAAACTGTCCTATTATTTATTGGTCTGTCCCTTATTTACTGCCTTGCTTACTTTGTCTTTGAGTATACTGTTTTTTGTGCTTTTTCTTGTTTTTATTGTGTATTTCTTGTTTTCTTGTTTATATATACATATATATATATACATACAGAGCTTTATATGTGTATATATATATATATATATATATATATATATCCCCGGATGTATTTTTTGTGCTTTTTCACAAGCAGAACTTCTATAAAAGCAGCTGTTGAAAGTCTACCATTCATTTCAATTTGGAGCGGGCGATTTCGGACGACACGCGAGGCAGGGAACGTTGTCGACCGGTGAGGCGTGTCTGGTGATGCGACAAAGTTGAGATCTGTATAACTTTATGCAAGTTAAGAGGGACTTTCGGGAGCGGCAACCAGTGGCGACCTTTTTCTTGTTTTTATTGTGTATTTATTGTGTTCTTGTTTTTAGAAAAAAAAAAAGAATGCGAGTGACGTCACGTGCAGCAAGTGTGCAGCCACAGAAATCGTCTTTGCGTCACTAAGATTCTAAATTCATCGTCATGATGTCACAAGCAGAACTTCTATTAAAGCAGCTGTTGAAAGTCTACCATTCATTTCAATTTGGAGCGGGCGATTTCGGACGACACGCGAGGCAGGGAACGTTGTCGACCGGTGAGGCGCGTCTGGTGATGCGACAAAGTTGAGATCTGTTTAACTTTATGCAAGTTAAGAGGGACTTTCGGGAGCGGCAACCAGTGGCGACCTTTTTCTTGTTTTTATTGTGTATTTCTTGTTTTCTTGTTTTTATATATATAAAAAAAAGAATGCGAGTGACGTCACGTGCAGCAAGTGTGCAGCCACAGAAATCGTCTTTGCGTCACTAAGATTCTAAATTATGCAAGTGAAGAGGGACTTTCGGGTGCGGAAACCAGTGGCGACCTTTGTCACAAGAGGGAAGAGGGACTTTCGGGAGCGGCAACCAGGATTGAAGTCAGTAGAGTGCAGTGCTGAGTTTGACCGAGGCAATTTAAACGAGAAGCTCATTTTAGCAGTCAGAAACTGTCCTATAATTTATGATATATCTCTGTGTAAGTTACATACACTCGTATTCAACCGTACTGACTCCGCGCCTACATGGTTTCGGGAATCTGGAACCAAGCTAGACCAGCATTTGCCCCCGTTTTGCTGTAGGTAAAAAGCCGCGATGGCAAAGGGCGCTCACTGTTTCTCGTTCCAGACTGTTCTCATGAAGTAGCGTGTGTATGACACGCCAATTTGTATTTCCATTTTTGGCGTGCTATCAAGACGCATAAACATAGGCGGCGCTAGGGAGGGGCTAGCAGGTGCTTCAGCACCCCCAAGAAAGACCAAAGCACCCCAATAGCACCCTCAACCCCAAAAATAATATCTGGAAGCAATTATCAGGGATGTGATTTTTCCGGATTAATCCGGAAAATAATTTAAGACAAACATTCATTATACATATGCGACGTCCAACGTCAGGTCACGTAAATTGCAATGTATTAGAACAGAGGTCTCAAACTCGCGGCCGAGCCGGTGATATTTTATGGCCCCCCACTTGACATTAAAGTATAATGTGAGTGCGGCCCGCCGTTGCGTTTGCCACGTTTGCCGCGTCGTGATGGTAAGTTGTTTCACGTTTGAGGGGGTTTAAACCGAATTGAACTCAGGTCTTCTTGATTAAAGCCCAACGCTTTATCAACTGAGCCACTGCATCTGTTGAGTACAAGTGTGTATTGGAAGGGGTTTTATTGCAGGTTTGGCTTTATTTGTTGGAAAAATAAATATAGAAATATAATTTGACACAAGAGGGCAGTATAGCCCTATTTATGGTTTTGAGTTTAAACTAAACCGTGACATCTACACGTTTTCCAAAGTGGACCAACGTGATTATTTCACGTCTTGTCGTGATACGGGTTGGGCACTGAAGTTACAGGAGTTTCTTCCCGTTGCTAAGCAATGGAACTAGGTCGAGTATTTAAAAGGTTATGGTTAACATGGTTAACGTGGTTTAACATCGATGTAATACGTTGTTTTTAGCGTACATTTTGCTTAAACGAGGAGCTGGGGAAAAATAGCCATTTTACTCATTAGGCTGCTTCATTAAAAACGTGACATTTAGACGTTTTCTTCGGCGTGGATCCATGCAAATGAATCATTTTCACCTTGAAAGGGCGAAGGCCCTATTGTTTTCCTTCCGATTATTATTAGGGCCCAAGCCCTGAAAGGGCGAAGGCCCTATTGTTTTCCTTCCGATTATTAGGGCCCAAGCCCTGAAAGGGCGAAGGCCCTATTGTTTTCCTTGGGATTATTTATTATTCTTCTTTATTATTTTTCTGCTACCTTTTGGGCATTTTTGGGGCCCTCGACAGCGCCCCCTGGAACGGGGTCCGAACACTTGGTCCATAACTCAAACACGCTTGTATATAATATTATGAAACCCGGTACACATGTCGATCTCATTGTTTCATATATACTTCGCACTTTTACTTTTTACCCCAGCCCAACAGGAAGTCGGCTATTTAGGGTTGTTCGTAAAACACTCGCAATGGAATTTTAAATACTCCTCCTAGAGCTCTGATCCAAATTCGACGAAATTCAGTCAGCGTGAAGTTTTATAAATAAGTTTTTATTTTTTATTTTTTATAAGTAAAGGCATATAACTAGCTACCAGACTTGTTTAATAGACATTTTTCCTCTGTTGGAAAGAATCTGTCACAACAATGTGGTCCTACAGGGGATGTCAATTATAAAACATTCTTGAGGAATAATTATCCCAGTTCTTGCTACTTTAGACCCACCTGTAAATTGGAAGTTACAAACATTATTAATAAAATTAAAAGCTCGTATACAGCTGGTGTTGATGAAATCTGTAGTAAGATCCTTAAAGCCATAGTAAATGAAATAGCTGAGCCATTGGCTCATATAATTAATTTATCATTGCAGTATGGCATAGTTCCTAAACAAGCTAAGGTGGCAAAGATAATACCAGTGTATAAATCTGGGGACAAAAATGATATTCTAAACTATAGACCAATATCCATCCTGCCAACATTGTCTAAAGTATTAGAAAGGGTGGTTTATACACGACTTGTAGACTACTTAAATAAACAAAATATATTAGAATCTTCACAATATGGCTTTAGGAAAAATAAAAGTACAAGTATGGCCATTTTAGATCTCGTAGAGAAAATAAATGATGCTTTTGAGAGAAAAGAAGCCGGTATTGGGGTTTTTCTCGACCTCTCAAAAGCATTTGACACGATTGATTTTCAAATTTTACTTGGTAAACTATCGCATTATGGCGTCAGGGGTGTGGCCCTCCAGTGGTTCAGGGACTATGTTTATGGAAGACGGCAATATGTTAGTCTAAATGATGTTGACTCTGGACTGGAAAATATAGTATTTGGGGTTCCTCAGGGATCTATACTGGGGCCTCTATTATTCCTTGTTTACATTAATGATTTTGTATATTGTTCTAGTGACGTTCATAAAATACTCTTTGCTGATGATACAAATCTGTTTGTGTCTCACAAACACTTAAATCATCTTAAAAAACTCCTAAATGACAGATTAACAGAAATAGATATCTGGTTTAAATGTAACAAACTATCGCTGAACTAGTAAAACTTTTTATATTGTTTTTCGATCCGGTATCCAGATGTATAACGATTGTGACATTAATTTAATTATAGATGGTAGAGCTATTCAAAGAGTGGACGCAATCAAATTTCTTGGATTACATATAGATCAATTCATAAACTTCAAGGAACATATTAATGAATTGGTTAAAAAACTATCTAAAATTGTCGGTCTGTTCTTCAAAATAAGACATATGCTCCCATTGGATGTACTCTTGTCTTTATATAGGACTTTGTTTGAGCCTCACTTGATTTATTGTAATATTATTTGGAATAATACTTGCCCTACTTATACTGTGAAACTCCTCATATTACAAAAGAAAGCCATTAGAGCTATTACATGGTCTACATACAACTCACATACGAATGCTCTCTTCCATAGATATGGCCTACTAAAGCTTCCTGAACGTAACTATTATCATAATGCATGTATAATGTACAATGTTGTCAACAGGTTAAATACTGGATTATGTGAGCTCATCCCATTATATACACCTTCACACAAACATAACACTAGACATAAGCTGCTCTTGAAAGGGAAATGCAGGAACCTAACAAGGGCTAGGTTTAGTGTATGTTACAGGGGCCCACAATTATGGAATGAGCTGGACCCTAATTTAAAACAATCTGCCTCTTTAGCAATATTCAAAAAGAAATTAAAGCAACAATTACTGGAGAGATATAATTGAGGGTATTGAGGGAACCCCTCTCCTTTGGTATGAGGATAAATTTAATTTGAAGAACAAAGGTACAATGACTGTCTGTTTTTATCTCTTGAAAGTAACTGTATTCCAAATACTCATAATTTAAAGTTTATTTGCTAATGGCATCTAAGTCGGTCCGCTCTGGTCACCAATGTTAGGTGGGTGGGGAGGTGTTGGTGGTGGGATGGACCCCTATTTATAAGCTATTGCTTCTTGGGGATCCATTTTCACAATAGCATATATCTGTTTTATATCTGTTGATGTAAAATGTACTGAGTTATTGTGAAATAAATAAATAAATAAATGTCATACACTAGTTTAATTGTAGTGCATTGACAATAGTTTTATATAATTAGTTTATTAATCTGATCAACAAACTTGGTCTGAAAATTTGGTCCATAAATCAAACACACTTGCATGTAATAATATGAAACTCGGTAAACATATGGATCTCATCGGTTCATGTATACTTCACACTCTTCCTTTTTACCCCAGCCCAACAGGAAGTCGGCTATTTAGGGTTGTGTTTAAAACACATGCAATGGAATTTAAAGTATTACTCCTAGAGCACTGAACCAAATTCGACGAAACTCGATCAGCGTGAAGTCAAGACATTAAGGATGAAAAAGTGCGAAGGGATTTTTGATATCTCGAACGGTTTGGCCGTGGCGAGGAAACGAAATTATGGCGAGAGACATGAAACAGGATGTGTGTTATAACTTCAGCATACATTAACTGATCTTGATGAAACTTCAGCAGTGTTTTCGCTGTAAGAGACCGATCACATGGATGTGACTATTGTGAGTCAAAGTTATAGCGCCACCAACTGGCAGCAGGAAGTGTGTCACTTTCAAAATGCTTTGAAATCACTCTCTTATTTTTAACCGATTTGCTTCAAACTTCATCTGTATAATGTAAATAGACGGCAGATGTAGACCTGTGAATGAATTTTTGATATCTTTGATACTGTTGCCGTGGCAACGAATCAAACTTTAACATTCTTTTTTGATGCTTTTGGGACTCTTAGCATGCTTGAAATTGCTTGAAACTCAACAGATACATCACATTTATTAGCCAGTAGACATGTGCAACTATGGCAAAAGATTAAAGTAATGTCAAAAAAGTAAACACTAAAAGCCTCATATCTTCTAAAAATGTAATTATACATCATTTGT